CCACAGGACCTGCTCAATCGAATGACCTCGATTGAGCAAGTTAGGTCGTGGCTTACACGAACTGGCTTATATATCGTCTTGGTGTTGGAAGAATAGTTAAATGAGCCGTTTTAGTAACTAAATAAATATTAGAAAGAAATAAAGTATTTTATTTTTATTATATATATGATTAAATCATACCACTATCAAGTTAAAGGACAATATATCCAATTCAAATAACACCCATTCGATATGAATATGTTGGTACTGATGTATCAGAAATAAAACGGTTTTGATTAATATCTATTGAAACAATTGGTTGTGGCAAATATTATCGTGCTAAGATACTAGTTGTCATATTAATTCGATCATATAAATATATATAAAACTAGACATGTACACGTATATATGTATTCTTTTTAATTTATTGTTAATTAAATTTCCATACATGATGACTATCACCAATGAGGATAAGATTTGGTTCTAATTCATTTATAAATGGTTTAACAAGGGCCAATAATTGAGTACTATACGAAATGATGATGATAATATTGAATGATTTTGTGTGTGTTTCATAATTGCAGTACGCTTATCATCTACATAGGACTCAAGCATATCGATATCTAACTGAAATTAAACAGAATTGTAACTTTAAGAAAATAAAAAACACTATGACTTGTTCTAAACGATATTATACTTTAAGATATTCAACATCATTCTGACGATATAAAGCAATAACACCCGAAATAGCAAAATATTTTTGTTCACGACTTTCATATTGAAATATTGAATAAAAATGATCAAAATATCGTTCAAATGCATCATCTGTTGCTGATAAACCATCATAAGATATTTCATCAAAAAAAAAGAAATCAATCTGGTTTAACATATTGATTTGCTTGAGAAAATGTTTTAGCAAGATAGTTTTAGAAAAACAAAGTCATTTTTAGATCAATCAAAAAGATTAACATAAGAACTCAATCCTAAGGTCGTAATAATTATCATTTAATTTCTTCATTTTATATTATTGAACAAGTGTATCATATATAGTCAGTTAAATAAATGTCATAGCAGTATCAATTGCGATAAGTAAAAAAATCACAGAAAACGAATATCGTCATAACTGAAAATGAAATTTGATTTTTTATTTTTATATTTAAAAATCATGATCGAACAAATCACTATAATTCAGAATAATGATTGGAAAACCATATAACGATACAGTTTTATTTTGAACAGGGACATGAATTTTCAATAAAATCTATTTATGTCCATATTCACTATTCAACAGAAGAAAGATACCAAGTGAGTCGCCTACTACTTGCGTCTTTATAGAATTTGAAATGATTTTTTAAATTGTTTTTTGGTGTTTATGGAAGAAACTAAATAGTATACTCCTTCTTATAAATGTGAAATTTCAGAAAACTGCTTAGTTTCCAGAGTTGTATAGTTTCACATCTATTATCATTTTGATTTTAATCATTTATCATCCAAATAGTTTATTGAAAGTAAAATCTTTGAATTTTATAATGATACTAT